CAATGCAAATATCTCCCGTACTCCCTACAGTTTTCCTGCTCCACTTAAAAAATAAACTTAAGTAGGAAGCTAATATGCTATAGAAAAATACATCAGTCTCCAATATTACCATTCCTTCCAATAATTTCTTTGAAACCCATAAAGTTTCTTTTAAAATAAAATAGCAATTGGCTTCACTCTCATTTGGAAATATGTCTACCTGCCCAGGAAAAGGGAAAAAGAAGAGAGAGGGAGAAGGAAAGATCAGATGATCTAAAGAAGGTAGATCAACAGTAAGTCTGCTTTTTGTAATTGGTTGTGTCTCCCTAGGCCAGGGTTGTCAAACTCAAGGCCTGGGGCCCAGATTCAACCCACAGGGTGCTCAGATCTGGCCCGCAGGGCCACCCTAGAAACAGCAAAGGTCTGGCCTGCAGAGCCTCTGCCGGGGAAATGGAGCTTGGGAAGGCCGCGTCAGTCCCTCCCAGGCTCCATTTTTGGCTGCGACAGCCTCCTGCTGCCCTCTGCCAGTAAAAAAAAACCCAAGCTCTATTTTCACTGGCAGAGAGTGGCAGGAGGCCGTCACAGCTGAAAATGGAGCTCTGGAGTCCGTTTTCACTAGCAGAGCACTCGGGCCACCACAGACACCCCGACATGAGTGAAGTCAAGCTGGCCATGCCCACCCTGGCCACGCCCACCCCAGCCCCTGAGGTCAAGCACCACCCTGATGCGGCCCTCAATGAAATCGAGTTTGATACCCCTACCCTAGGCTTTCTCTCTTTTTTTCAGAGAGTACTTATAACATCATCAGAATTTGAAATGAATCCCTATTGAAGAGAAGAATTAGTGAGACATGACAACCGTCTTCCAGTACTTGAGGGTCTGTCACAGAGAAGAGGGGATTGACTTATTCTGCAAAGCACCAGAGGGCAGGACAAGAAGTAATGGGTGGAAGCTTGTTAAAGGTGCCATTACAACGACTCTGACGGGGGAGGCCGCTGATTGGGTGGCAGATTTGCATAATGATCATGCCCGAGAGCTCACCAATGTTGGGCTATTCTTGGAGGGTCTTAGAGTAAGGTTCGAAGACGATACTCGAACTCAGGTGGCAGAGGGGGAACTCGTAGCTCTGAAGCAACGGGGCCACCCGGCAAAGGAATGCGTAAAAGAATTCCGTCGATTAGCAGGGAGAGTGAGGGGGTAGCCTGAACGCATGCTGGTTCACCAGTTCCATCTTGGATTGGACCACAATTTGCGGCAGGCCTGTGTCTATCGGGGAATGCCGCCCCGTCTGTCCGAGTGGTGCAAGGCTGCTATTGATCTGGACGTTGGCCTAAGAGAATTCTGGATTAGAAGTGGTGTGAACTCAAGTTCCAGCCGCCGGCAATGAAAAAGACCAAGTCTTGGTAGAGCGCAGGCAGGGGGGAACCCGATCCTCGGGTAACCGACTCAACACGGCGGCCACTGCGGTGTTTCCATTGTAACCAAGGAGAATTTTTTCTGACAGCGAGAACAATGGAATGGAATAGGTTACCTCTGGGAGTTGTGAGTACTCCATCACTGCAGGTTTTCAAAAATAGACTGGACAACCATTTGACCAGGATAGTATAAAGTCTCCTGCCTTGCGAAGAGGTCAGACTAAAAAACCTCTGAAATCTTTTCCAGTCTATGGTTCTATGTTCTCACCTTGAAAAAAGGATTGCTCCTGCAATAAAGGTTGGAAAGAGAGGAGGGGCCGAGTCAAGATCTTCATACAAAAGCTGGATGTAAAGCAGCTTTTTCAATCTGGTGTCTCAAGTCATTCTCCCCATCCCTGCCCCCTTTGGCTTTAACTCAGAAAGCCAAAATGATTAGAAAATTGGCCAGGGAGAATAGTGGGATAAGAGACCTACCAATTAAATATATGCTAAATTTGTGGACTGTTTCAATGCATGGACTAAAAGCTTATATTGGATCTTGAGCCATGTGGTTAGAGCAGTGAGAAGTAGACTATTCTGGGAGAAGACCTAGACCAGGGGTGTCAAACTCACTTTCATTAGGGTTGTGTTTGATTTTGGGGGGGCCGGGTAGGTGTGGCCAGCTTGACATCACTCGTGTCAGGGGCGTCTGTGGTCGCCCAAGCCCTCTGCCAGCGAAAATGGACTCCCGAGATCCATTTTTGGCTGCGATGGCCTCCTGCAAGCCGCTACCAGTGAAAATGGAGCTTGGGAGCCCTCCCAAGTGCCATTTTCACTGGCAGTTGAACTGGGCCAGTTCTTTGCTGTTTCCAGGGTGGTCCCATGGGACAGATCTAAGCACTCTGCGGACTGGATCCAGCCTCCCGGCCTTGAATTTAACACCCCTGACCTAGATTGAGAGATGATGGTGATGATGACTTAATGTTCACATTAACACCACACCAAAATAGTATAAAACATCCATAGTCAATTAAAAAATAATAACAATGCATCAATTAAAAAAAATTTGCAATAATAAATAAGCAAATAAACATCCAAATCCTGATGGTAAACAGCCATTCCTCAAAGGTCTTCCTGAAAATGTCAGCCTCCATTATCTTCAGAGATGAGGGAATAATAACAGATATCAGCTAAAAGGGAGAATATTGCAATAGTCCCTTGCCTTGTCTATTATGTCGTTCTTCTTGCCTTTTCCTCAGACTCATTCAGGTGGTGGCTCTCCATCAAGAGAAAGCCATCTGGTGTCTTTTGTCCAAGTATTGGACAAAAGCCCCTTGACATGGCCCATGCTGGCAGGGACTGAGGGGAACTGAACTCCAGAATGACTGAAGAACACCAATTGGCCTAGTCTGTTCATTTAACTTTACCCCATAGAGACATTCAAGAGACAAGGCAGACTGATATTTTTATATCACTTTGAATCTGTTAAAAAGTACTAATAGCATAATGTAAGGATGGGGAACCTCTGGCCCGCCAAATGTTTGTTGAACTATATTTCCTCATAATTAACCTTTCTAATTGACTTTATACAGGTCGTCCTTGACTTATAACAGTTCTTTTAGTGACTGTTCAAAGTTACAACAGCAATGAAAAAAGTGACTTATGACCTTTTTTCACAAATGTCTATGGAGATTCTCAGTCACCCAATTTATGGTTGTCCTAAAGGTGCTTTTTTCAAGAGGCAACTGGACTTTCTGGGTTTTTCTTTCAAGACGTTTTGCTTCTCATCCAAGAAGCTTCTTCAGCTCTGATGGATGGTGGGGAATGGAAGGATTTATACTCCTTGCAGACAGCTGGTCATTTGCTTTCTTTTAGAGAGTGTTTAAGGCCACCTGGAAGTTTATCTGTGTCCTCAGGGTCACCTGAGTGGTACAAATGGGTGTGGAGCCTTCTTGGAACTGTTGAAAGGACTGTGTTGTAAACTGGAGACAGATGATCTAGATGAAACGTTTTTCACAGTTATGACTTTTACAACATCCCCATGATTATGTGATCAAGTTTCATACTTATGACCGCTGCTGTGTCCCAAGGTCATGTGATCCCCTTTTGTAACCTTCTGACAAGCAAAGTCAATGGGAAAGCCAGACTCACTTAACAACCAGGTTACTAACTTAGTAACTGCAGTGATTCACTTAACAATTGTGGCAAGAAAGGTCATAAAATAGAGCAAAACTCACTTAACATATCTCTCACTTAACAACAGAAATTTTGGGCTCAATTGTGGCTGTAAATCGAGGACTACCTGTACATTGGAGCTTTCGGATTTGAATAGAATAGAATAACAGAGTTGGAAGGGACTTTGGAGGTCTTCTAGTCCAACCCCCTGCTTAGGCAGGAAACCCTACACCATTTCAGACAAATAGTTATCCAACATCTTAAAAACTTCAAGTGTTGGAGCATTCACAACTTCTGGAGGCAAGTTGTTCCACTGATTAATTGTTCTAACTGTCAGGAAATTTCTCCTTAGTTCTAGATTGCTTCTCTCCTTGATTAGTTCCACCCATTGCTTCTTGTCCTGCCCTCAGGAGCTTTGGAGAATAGCTTGACTCCCTCTTCTCTGTGGCAACCCCTGAGATATTGGAACACTGCTATCATGTTTCCCCTAGTCCTTCTTTTCATTAAACTAGACATACCCAGTTCCTGCAACCGTTCTTCATATGTTTTAGCCTCCGGTCCCCTAATCATCTTTGTTGCTCTTCTCTGCACTCTTTCTAGAGTCTCAACATCTTTTTTACATCGTGGCAACCAAAACTGAATGCAGTATTCCAAGTGTGGCCTTATAAAGTGGTATTAACACTTCACATGATCTTGATTCTATCCCTCTGTTTATGCAGCCTAGAACTGTGTTGGCTTTTTTGGCAGCTGCTGCACACTGCTGGCTCATATTTAAATGGTTGTCCACTAGGACTCCAAGATCCCTCTCATAGTTACTACTATTGAGCTAGGTACTACATATACTGTACCTGTGCATTTTGTTTTTCTTCCCTAAATGTAGAACCTTACTTTTTTCAGCACTGAATTTCAATTTGAACTTCAGCAGTCATCTAAAGAGAGCAACTGCTAACAACACATCTGAAATATTTGATATGGCCACACACAGAAAGACATGTGAACAAAACAACAGGCTCCAATGAGCATCAAATGGGTTGTTCAGCAAAGCAGTTTATCTCCATTTGTTGCTATGGACCAAAAATGCTATCAATTATATTAGATATGGTATTTCAATATAGCAATTGCAGTGGCTTCCTTCTCATTTCTATTCATATAAATTCCATAGATATGACTCTCCCAATGCTTATAAATATTAATATAGAAAACCCAGCAAGAACAAAAAATAAATAATAATAATAATAATAACCACAAAATCTCATCCTATTGATTTTGGAATATCAGCAGTTTAAGGATTAGCAGGTGAACTTTAGAGTTAAAATATTGCTTTGAATGATAATATCAAAATGCAAAAAGGAGAGATAGAATGTAAGGTATTCAAGCTGAATTCTCAATCTCTGGGTTTTTAACAAATATAGCACCATTACAATTCATAGCTGAGAAACTGAAAAAAGCAGATTAAATTCCACTTTACAAACTTTATTTGGCTCAGAAGTTTTAAAAAAAAGGTTCAGTCAAACAGAGAGAATAGAAAAAAGGCAGATCAGATACATAGAGTACATATATTATACAAATCATATTTGACATCACAGAAAATTTAACTATGGACTATGGCACATAGACTATCAAAAGCTGCTGGTCTCATTTCTCTGTTGATTCACCACTCAGATTCATCCTTGGCTTGTACTCTAGTTTTTCAATTGGCACTCCTATCGAGTAGATGGAATGTCAAGATGTGCAGATATGTATCTTATTGTCACACTTTATGTGACACAATAAACTGTCCCTGGCGCTCTTAAGTCAAAATGTTATCTGTCAATTAACGCAAAGAAGAGAAAACAAAATAGAAACTGTAGTGGGCATTGGCTCGACATACCTAACAGCCCAAAGAAATTGCTAGCATTAACCAAACGAAACACACTCTAATGAGAGTCTGCAAGAAGTCAAAATAGGCTTTGCTAGGTAAATCACAAAGATTCGTTTTAATTTCCTCACTCAAGGATCTTAAAACTGCCCTTGGATGCACTTTGCAATACTCTCGTTCCTGCAGATCTGTTAAAACCGTGCACCACAAGTCTTTCGCACCAGCTTGCAATAAGTGTTAACTGACTACTCCGGAGATGATGCAGGAAATAAATCTTCTCATCACCTATGAATGTAGGCACCAGAGCTAAATGCCTTGATATGCATTTATCATGTTTTAACACAGGAGAAATTTTTTTCTTATGTGGGATCTGAAATGAATTGCCCCTGCTACAATCATTATAATTGCTTCCATTTAAATGCTTTTCATTTTTCAGGACTCCTGGCTGGAGAAGGGACTCTGAATATGAGAATATTGCTTGATTCCACTAACGGCACCTGGTATTTAGGTCCACTCTTTGGAGGAAAGTATCAACTTCCTCTAAAGCTGATATTAAGCTGCTTAAAGAATCATTATGGCTGACGATTAGCATACAAATGTATCACCTGTCTATTAGGACCTCTGGTATATTTCTCAATTTTGTTTGGGGGGGTTGATTTTACTCCTTTTTTGTTGCTCTCTTGGAGAGGGAATGAGATTGAGTTTGGCATTAGTCCATCTAAAGCAATTTTAAAAAACTTGGCATCTTTAAGAAGTGTGGACTTTAATTCCCAGAATTCCCAAGCCACCATGCTGGCAGTCCACACATCTTAAAGTTATCATGGTTCAAAAACACTGACTAAAAGCATCCATGATACTGAGCAAATGAGTAACAGAACATTCCAAGATTCCTCTGAAATTACTTGAATAATCTCTGATAGAATAATTATTTTATTGTCACTTTAAATGTACACTAATCAGCATATGTTAAAATGAGGTTTTGTTGTTTCGCTGTTATTACTTTGTTGGGTCTTGGAGAATGGATCTTCCTTCTTCCAGACTTCTCTTTATTCTGGGAACAAAGAGGGAGGAAACAATGAAAGGTACTATTTGGTCTTCTTCCTTCCCTTTTGCTTCTATCTTTATGAAGAATCTGGGCTCAGCTACTGGTTCCCCACTATGAAAGTTTTTAAGTCCCTGGAGCATAGAATCCACCATACTGTCAGTCACAATATTACTTGATAATCTCTCTCTCTCTCATTAACAAGCCAGGAAAGCGCTAAGTGATGTATGAGAAGATTGCTTCTACTATTTTGATCACCCACTGGGTTGTAGTGCTATGATTGGTCAATGTATTTCTCCTAAATATCTGCCATTTCTCTGTGGGAAAAGTAGTTACCCAGATAGTTTTGCTCAATCATCCTTATGCTTTCTGCATTCATCCTTCTGAAAGAACAACACTTTCCCCCTTCCAATGCTTCCCAAATCCAAAATAAGCTTGAAGTAATCCTGTCAACTCCACACCTGACAAAAGTGCTCTGAACATCAGATATAATGCCACCCTACAGCTTTATATTCCATGTCAGAAAAGTGAAATAAAAAGGGAAAGAAAGAGAGAAAAAGAGAGAAAGAGAGAGAGAAAGAGAGAGAAAGAGAGAAAGAAGAGAAAGAAAGAGAAAGAAAGAAAAGAAAGAGAGAAAGAAAGAAAAAGATAAAGAGAGAGAGAAAAAAGAAAGAAGAAAAAGAGAGAAAGAAAGAAAGAAAGAGGGAGAGAGGGAGGGAGGGAGATAAACAGAGAAAATGAGAGAGAGAGAAAGAAAGAAAAATAGAAAGAAGAAAAAGAGAGAGAAAGAAAGAAAAAAGAAAGAGGGAGGAAGCTAGAGAGAGAAAATGAAAGAGAGAAAAAAAAGAAAGAGAAAGAGAAAGAAAGAAAGAAAGAAATGAAAGAAAGAAAGAAAGAAAGAGAAAGAAAGAAAGAAAGCCATTTCAAAACTTTGCAAACAATGAATGTTTTTGTTTCCTTCAGCCCCAGCAGCCAACCAAGTGGAAATACTACTTCCATTCTTAATCTACAAATGAAATTAAAGTTGTTGAAAGATGCCTATGAAACCAGAAGAGTCCTCCTTTTTGGCAAGAGAAGAGGAAAAGCTGAAACCGCAACAATATTTGAGCAGCTTTATTAAATTTCCAGCCATATCAAGAATCATCACCAAGCATATGGTGTTTATACACAAATGCAGAAGATAAACATGTTGGCTCTTCGGAGAGAGACAGATACATTTGAAAGCTGCCCCAGCATAAAAAGAAGACTTTGAAAGGAAGATTGGACAATCTGCAAAATTTGTGCTGAGCCAAGAAAACAACTGTGATTACCAGCAGATTCAGGGTCCCCAGCCAACGGGAAGTAGGAAGAGTCCTAGTCAGTGGTTGCGTTGCCCTCTGCAACAAGGGATGAAAGTAAAATACTCCAGGTAGAAACTGTTCCTGCCAACTGGCAGAAAGGTCTGGCTGCAATCACACATTCTCTTCCCAGAAAGCTCCTTAAAAGAAATGAAATGAGGCACAGCGGGCCTATCTAGTGAGCACAGACGCTTCCACACCCTGGCATGGGTTCATCAAGTCACAAAATAGAAATAGGTTGTGTGTGTGTGTGTGTCTTCAAATCATTCTTGACACCTGGAGACTGCCCGGACAAGTCCCTGCAGTTTTCTTGGCAAGATTTTGGAAGTGGTTGGCCACTGTCTCCTTCCTGGGACTGAGAGAATGTGACTAGCCCAAGGAAAGCAGCTAGCTTCATGCCTAAGATGACTTCAACTCACGGGTCTCCTGGTTTCGAGCCTGGTGCCTTCATCACTACACCAAAGTGGCTCTAAGTTGCACTTTATGAAGGCTGTTCTCCTATCATCTCATCTGTAAAGGACAGCCAGTTTTTTTTTTAATCCAGATCATGTTTCTGAAGCTAGAACTTCTGCAAAGCATAGCAACCCAACTCCTATGCTCTGCTCTGTAAGGATTGCTATTGCTTAGCATGAATCTGATCCAGGGATGGGTTCTACTTACCTTTACTACCGGTTCGCATCGCGCCTGTGCACACTCTTCTGTGCATGCACAGAAGCTTCTGTGCATGCACAGATCACCTAGGATGACGTCCAGGTCAGTGGGCGGAGCCTTCCGCCGGTTTTACTACTGGTTCTTGCGAACCGGTCCTAACCGAGGGCAACCCACCACTGATCTGGTCACATAATTGTCACTTTAATGTCGTGAAGCGTGCATTAAATTCCTAACTGTAGAAATGAAAATGAATCCCCTTCCCTATGCTATCTTTATTTTAATACAAATTCTACCGATAATGTTGTTGCTGCTAATTAAAACAATTTCAACTCAGCTCTCCTAATTCAGAGGCTTACACTCTTTGCAAGCTATAAATTTGGTTTAAATATATATCTATCTAGATCTAGATCTAGATAGATGTATATAGATATTTAAACCAACATATATTTTGGAACTCCTGATCCAAAGTCAAAGCCAGTGATAGAAAATTGCCTGGGCTGAAGTGAATTCTCCACCATTCCTCTACTTTCTCAGAGAACCCATCACAATCTCTGGGGCTCTATAGAAGGTACCTAGTTAATTTGAATTCTGTCCTTGGACTGACAGTGAACCTGATTCTTGAACCAAAAGTTGTCCTTCTTCCTTCCAGTTGATTAGATCAGTGTTTCTCAACCTTAGCAACCTTAAGATGTGTGAACTTCAACTCCCAGAATTCCCCCAGCCTGCCTGAGGAATTGATGTCCACACTTCTTAAAGTTGCTGAGATTTGAAAAACCACTGGGTTAAATATTTCTGTGAAAGCAACATCCTTACCAGGATTTGATGCTGGTTGTTAGATTACTATCGGACCACTGCTTGGGAAATCACTATAGTCGTGATGGCGGACCTATGGCACGCATGCCCAAAGTGGCATGCGGAGCCATGTCACCTGGCACATGGGCCGTTGCCCCTTCCTCTTCTGGGTTTCTGGTGTGCATGCGCACACGATGATCAGCTGGCCTTTTCTGCATGCGGCTGTGCTGGAAACTGAAAGAGCTGGTCTTCTGTTCTACTGCGTGAGCATATGCGCCAGCCAGCTGATCGTTGCGTGTGTATGTGTGCCAGAAACTCGGAAAAGTAGCTGGCTGAAACCAGAAGTTCATTTTCAGGCCCGCGCATGCACCCTGAGCAGCTCCTCTTTCGGGTTGCGGCCCAGATGCGCGCGGGCTCCCTTTTTGGCACTTGGTGCCGAAAAGGTTCTGTCAGGTTTCGAGGTCGTCTCAAATAAATTGCATTTCAAACAAAGTCTGATGAAAAACTCCCATTTATTAAGCACGACATTCTAACTCTGACTCCATCGCAGCCAACACTGACTTCCAGACCCAAAACCCTCCCTTTCTGTTCCCCACTTCTCTGCACTCATTGGCCATCTTCCAAGTCACTCTACCCCTAATCTACTGCTCCAGCTCAAAGGAATTTCCCCCCTCCCATCCCATCTCCTAGGGGATATTATCTCCAGGGAAAATAAGTAGGTGAAAAGTCAAACGTCCCTTTCCAGACGCCTCCGCTTCTCCTTCTTATGTCAGCTTGAAGTGCTGACAGGTTCACCATCACTGCACTATAGTATATCATTCTGCCTTCATTTCTTTATCACAGCAAAAGCTCATTGAAGTAGGTCAAGAGCTAATGATCAGTCCAATTGTATGCAGAAACCTACCATGGATGTAGACCAGGGATGTCAAACTCAATTTCATTGAGGGCTGCATCAGGGTTGTGTTTGACCTCGGGGGGGGAGCGTGGCCAGATATGTGTGGCCAGGGTAGGCATGGCCAGCTCAATGCCACTCATGTTGGGGGCACCTGTGGTTGCCTGGGCCGGGCTAGGGTGGGATCCCAGTGTGACCCTCCTGAGCTCTGTTTTCGACCGTGACAGCCTCCTGCAGCCCTCTGCCAGCAGAAACGGAGCTCATGGGGGCTGCACGTAGCCCTTCCAAGTTCCATTTTCACTGGCAGAGGCACCATGGGTCAGACCTTCACTGTTTCCAGGGCAGTCCCACGGGCCAGATCTAATCCTGGCTCGTCTTGATTCTCGCTCAGCCTCTTAACCTTAACCACAGCACCACCCTGATTCTTAGAGAATTTCTAAGGAGGAAAGAGTGCCATTTGCCTTTAATAGGGAAAAATAATTATTCCTAATTTCGTGAGTTAACCCTGGTTCTGCAGTGGGGTCCTATTATTTTCAGCCCTGGAGAAATGCATTTTGTCAGAGACTTTCTCACCAGCTGAGCAAAATGTAGCCCTATTCTGACATTGCTTCCAATAGATGTCATTCTCTTTGCAATTAGAAGCAGCCAAGTAATCCTGCCTTTGGGGTGTCTAAAATAATCTTTGCCTACATGGTTTGTTCAGGTGTGCTGGACTTCAATTTTCAGCCAGCATTGTATCGGAGCTAAAATTTGCCATCAGGTTTGCCATGCAGGACCATTTAGATCAGTGTTTCTCAATCTTCCCAAGTTGAAGATGGATGGACTTCAATTCCCAGACTTCTCCAGCCAACCGACCTTCAATTTGAGAAGGTTGAAAAACACTGATTTAAATTATAAGTAGAAACAGAAATATTTGCCAGTTTGGATGGAGTTCATGACTGTGTTTGAAAACGTGCAGCTAGATGGTTTTTTTCATGTCTTTTCATCTTTAAAAACTTGACATCAGGATAGTTGTGTTTTGTTTTGTTTTTTGTTTATTTTTTTTTTGCATATTCCGGTATTCTTAGTCCCTTGATGACTATTGGTGATGAAAGCAAATCTAGTTATCTTTGTGTTGTCCTGTTGAGCCAATTTCTGCGTATCCGAATTCTTTTACTATCTTATTTAGAACCGATTCAGTCTAATTTAAATGCAAATATTATATTGCTGTTGTTGCTGTTAAGCAATTGGGAGTTGATCCCTGCTTCACAATAGAAAACTGTTGTACAAGGTGAAATTTAAAAGAGGGTCACAATCAAAAATCAGACATGGAGACCGAATTTAGGTCAATTGGTTCCTTGACAATAGAGGGTGCAAATAGAGCTAGTCCTTGACTTACGACCACAACTGAGTCCAAAGTTTCAGTTGCTAAGTGAAACATTTGCTAAGTGAGTTTTGCCCCATTTCTTGCCAGAGTTGTTAAGTGAATCACTGTTAAGTTAGTAACGGTTGTTAAGTGAATCTGGTTTCTCCATTGACTCTGCTTGTCAAAAGGTTGCAGAGGCTGATCACACCAACAACCAAGGCGTTGCAAACGTCATAAATACGAGTCAGTTGCCAAGCATCTGAATTTTGATCATGTGGCCACGTGCAATGGTCATAAGTGTGAAAAATGGTCATAAGTCACTTTTTTCAGGGCTGTTTGAATGGTCACTAAATGAACTGTTGTAAATTGAGGACTACCTGTAGTCTTTTTTGTAATTTATGGACATGACAGTATCATTTTTTCCCCATTAAATTGTAGCTTTCCATGTGCAATGATGTTTTATTTTACTGGTCTCCATTTAATACCTCGATTGGTAAAAGTGTAGATTTTCATCTCAGTGAATATGAGGGACTGAACCAGAGATCTTCAGTTCTGAGTTAATCTCAATCTGGAATTTATAGATTTTATCTTTCAGCCTCCTTTTTTTAATCCTTATCTGCAAAATGGGTCTAACAAGAGACATGGAAAAAGTTTGAGAAGAACTCTGGTAATAAACATATCTTTCTTTTGACCCCTTGTGGCCTTTGAGTAAATTGCTGTGGTTTGTTGATGATCTAAAGCTTGCTAAAATAATATATTGAAGAGAGAAAAGAATGAATGTACCTCCTACAAGCAGTAATCCTTTTTTTTCAATGGCATATCCAAATCTTTCAGGAAAAAAATACCTACTTTCTCCAAGTAATGCTAGTCAACCTTGCAGGATTGTTGCCTTGATGTCTCACTGTGGAGTTCAAGTACAGGAAGTCATTTTAAAGATTCTCATGTGTGTGAAATGCCAAGTTTAATATTTCTAGCAGAAATATTAATAATATAAATTGTAAATACATATTTCTAAATGTATGTAGAATGTTTCATAGTATTCAGCAACTATTCTCCCCACCCACCAAAAAAAAATGCCAGTTTCCCTTCTCCATTTGTTTTTCACAATTCAGTGTTTTACATTTGAAAAGAAAGCAAGGAAGCAATAAATAAATAAGTAACATGCCCCGGTTCACTCTAGTATGACAATTAAATCCAACCATTTAACAGCTTGCATCTGTAAATAGAGCAGCTTGCAAATCAACCAGGGTCTCCAGTGTGTCGATAAGTAGAAACAAAGTTTTAAATCTGATGCCTGCATTCTGAACCACATTCCAGAATGTAAATATGCACACAAAAGCATGGAGCTACATATTTTGATGGAAACAATTACAAGGCTGGCCCCTTTGCAGTCTTCTCTGGTGCGCCCTCTGCTGGATGCATGGACCCAGAGCAGGGTACCGCACCTCCAATTAATTATTGGCATTTCCTGCCAACATCTGGCTGCATCTGCTGTCGTGTAAAATTTGGTTCAATGTTTCAACTCCACCCCCTCCTAAAAAATGCAAGAAGGACTTACTTAGAGTAGAGTCTTGGAGGAAGGCTATTAGTCTCTGTACTTTGTTCCCTTTGCACCCAACTATCTGTCACCAAAATAAATACATGTCAGGAATAATTTCATGGAATAATTTCCCACATAGTACAACTTATTGCTTAGCATATTATCGCTTAAAAAGTGTGCTCTTATTTGAATACTGCTGATGACACACTTTACATACACACCCATGAACTTGAGAAAGATTTATGGTAACCTACAATTTCATTTTTTATTTTTTTTGCACGGATAATGTATGGTTAATATGATGGTCCAGGAATTTAATAAAAACTTGCACATTTTTGCAATCCACATATGACAGCCTTCTATGTAGCCATATTTATATTATTTGCTTATTGAAGCATATGGAAAAGGACAAGGCAAACAAAGAAACTTTTAAAAAGGGCACACAGAGACATTTCATTACTCATAAAGTAATGAAAATTACTTTAACGGAGTCATCCTTTTGGCTCTCCTAGCCAAGTCTTATCTTCTGAGATGAACAGAAGATCTGTTTCTAAGCAGAGGTTTTCCCAGCTGGCTATGCCAGAAACTGGACTGGAAACGTTACACACAAACATCCATTGTATACTGAAGGTTTAACTCCTAAAAACCAGCTGGTATCAGACATTACAGTAAGCCATATTCTGTTATTTGGTGAGGTTTCAGTATGTTGGGTGGACCTAGCCACAGTGCTAGAAAATCATGCTTTATGGCTTAGCATGATGCATGAATCACTGGGTTTTTTTTAATGAGAAATGGGCAAGCAACCCATGCTTATCATGGGGTTAATCCCAATTAAACAGGAGTCATTCTATTTTTCAAATTTAAAAAGGACCTGCAGTGTAATCCTTGTGACATATAAATAAATAATAATAATTTACAATGACTGTGTATTAGAATGATTTCATAATTTGACTGATGCTAACAAACTTTCCAAACTGTAAGTACTGTGCCCAATTAGAAATTCCATTTTCATTGCAAAGTAACCCACATTTCTGTTCCCTCATTGTCCCTCTGCTCATTTCTAAATGAAAGTTGGCTTGATGGAAATCCACCACTGTTTCTCCCCCAAATTACATATCTTGTTGACATTTCCTGTAATATACGAAAGCCACAAACCATCTCTCTGCAATCTTCCTAATATAATTTTTTCCCCTCCAGCCTTCTGGATTCATGAAGAATTGAAGCTTTCCAGGTCTTCCTTGTGGCTATCTTAACACAGTATCTTTCACTCCCTGAAAAGTATGCTGGCATAAATTGTACTATTCCTGTGGTCAAGTCTTACTATGTCTCTCTAATGAGGCCAGTAAATAACATTATCCTTACACTTTTAAAGTATGTCAAATGAAGGAAAACAAATGGTGGATTCCCTCAGGTTGATTTCCCCTCCTGCTACCTGTTGATGGAAAAAGCAGCTATCAATTCTTCTGCACCTGGGAAGGGAAGAGCTAAGCAAGTGCCCGTAGCTGCCTGGCACAGAGGATTTAGTCACCTTTCAGGATGGCTGAGTGATAAGCAGCAGACCAGTCAACTGAGCAATTTGTGAAGTGTCAATGAGAAATTTTGGAATATGGGGCAGACTGGAGATGACGTATTTCAGTGTATTCTTTTCTACACAATCCGTTGAAGGCATCTAGATCTTCATAGCTGAATATTTCTCCTCTAAGGCAGATAAGACAGCTTCGTGGATCATAATTTGCATTAGTGTTCTGTATGTGGCAAATTTAAAGGTCTCAAAGTCAAAAGGGAAATTATATCATGGATTAGGCCATTTCCTGTATACATTTAGATTTACAAGGAACTGTGAAAATTGAAGAATGAAAACCAATAACAAGAAGTCATTTCTAAAGATTGAGAAGTTCTCAATTTCATAGTTTCTGGACAAATCTGTAAGAGATGAGGAGGCTCAGCCTGAGGGAGGGATCAAGTGCATCATCAGTTTGGAGTCCCTTCGTGCCCACGAGATCTAAGTCCAGCCCCCATTGAATTCCATTGACTCTTATCTACTGCTAATTCACCTTGATCTTCAGTAGTTCAGATTCTTGTTTAGGGATAGCATAGAATCAATTTGTACCCATCTGAATAATTCTGGTTCCTGATTTCTTGTGCCTGACAAAATCATGGTAATTGGACAGTCCTGTTATTACAGATGATGCTCCTGTTGAAACTCTCTTAATGATTTAACCCCAAAGGAACAAGTCTATTACTCACTACCCTGCACCATTAATGGATAACATTAATCGTGATCCAGTAACGGGTAACACTAATCAAGATTCTTGTTTGCTTGCAAGCTCTAAGGATTGAAGTAGCTGCTCTGCCCATTCGAAGTAAAAATAACCATGATGAAAAAGAAGCAATGTAGGAGAGAGAATACTTGAATGTCAAGATAATTGAACCTTGATGATCCTGACACTGGTACCCTACAGGAGAAATAATCACACATATATTTCACAAAACCCACAATCTGATTTCTGACTAGATCCCTATTAATCTCCTGGTGGATTACAAGAAAAAGACAGTTTTTCTTTTACATATGCAAATTCCATCTAAATCTATATATAATTACTGAAGATTTATAGCTAGTCATGTTTAGTTCCTCATCTCACAGTAGTTTGAACACATTGAGTCAGCTGAGGCCAGACAGGTCTCGTACCTCTTACGTTCCCCATAAATGCAGGGAAGGTGGGATGAAGAAGCCAAGTTGGAGATACATCTCTTTCACCTTATTTCACCTTCCTTACTACAATTTTTTTTCTGTTATTGCTTTACCCTAAACTGTATGCAGATTTTTCAATTTCCTAGGGAAAAGGGGTATGTAAATAGGAGGAAAAAATTAAAATATATATTACTATACATATCAGCAACCTTACCTGGATCTCACTTCATTTTCTATCACTATACTTATTATCTATCATAAGATACCCAATTAAAAGCAAAACAGCAGTCTTGTGTTATCTTAAAGACTAGCAGTTTCCTTTAAAGCCAGTTGAGTTTTGTTTTATAATGCTTTGGTAGATAGATTAAAATGACTGTCTCTCTGTGTGTAGAGAGGGCCCCTTCCCAGGCAGAAGTAACTTTCAAGTCAATGTAAAGTCTTTAGCCTGTGATTAAAAGCCTTTTCCAATTAGCACTCAACAGCTCCCATTCATTTCCCCCCCAGCCCCTCCCCATTCAAGATGAGTAGGAGACTAATAAGGCTGCGATAAAAGGGCAAAAGGCATAGAGACAGCCAAAAGGAATTAATGAGCCTCCTCCATGTATTTGTCTCCTCAACAGCTGAACTGTTACATCCATTGATGCTCTTCAAAGGGCCTTCCTCTGCACTCTGCAAGCTCCACTGGGCACCTTCAGCCCATGGAGGATGGGAGGGCAAGAGGACTTCCCTGGGCAACCCGCCCAAGCCAATCGAGACCTACAGGATGGGGTGATGAAAACGGAGCTCTTTGCTGCCCTTGATGCCAACTCCACCATCACGACTGGCACTTCTCCACCCCACCCCACCCCCACCCCCTCCTAAAATGTCCAGACCTCTTTTGAGGGTCGGTTCCCAGCAGCTCTGAAGGAGAAAATTCAGGGCTGGGAATTGTGCAGTCAAGACCTTGTCAAGGTCTTCACAGGGACCCTTGTCATGAAGCACCTCGGTGACTGGCATCTGGCTCAGAAAAGCCCCCTCCCTGCCCCCTCCCCAGCCCTTAACAGCTTATGACATCACAAAGGGCACTCCAAACAGATGCCTACATGGCATCCTGCAGCACTTTTAAAAGAGAATTAGTGGCTTTAATTATGGCCGTCGTCTGAAAGAGAGCCCAGTTGAGTTCACTAGGAGGCCTTTGATCAAGGACCTCGGCTAACACAATGGTGCGGAACTGTGACTACTCCTCGCCAGGGGAGAAGGGGCCTTTTCTGCCCCTGAATAGCTCACCAGTGATCTTTGAATGCAGGCAAGCTGGAAAACCCTCCCTCATCATTAAGCGGACATTTCTATACAGGGGCCTACATAGAGCTCGGGAGTCGAGGCGCTATACAATTGGAAGGGGGAAAGAATCCCTACAGATTCTGGCTACTCCTTAGGAAGTGCTGAAGGGCCGTGAGTGACTTAATTCATTAAAACAGGTTGCTATTAATTAACTGTCATAATCAAAGAAAGAGCCATTATTTGCATTTCTTAACGTTGTTCCCTTTTAGTTCATGTGCGGAGGTGGGGCGAGGAGGGAAAAGATTCTTGCAACAACAAAAAAAATGAATTTAAGGCTGGAATAAACACACGCACGCACGCGCACACACACAGGAAAAAAAGGGGGAAAAAAGGGGGGGGAAGCTTGCCATGAAAAGCCCCCCATTCAAAATGTAAGCTGTAGGTTCTGCAGCTAATTACAGGACCAGATCTACAAGTGAACAAACAGGGAGGTGAAAACACAAATAGGAAAGTAATGAGGAAGAATGCAAAAATGCCTTTACTTGGCAACCGGTTTCTGCAACTGAGCCTAGTGGAAGAGTCTTTCTTTCTCTCTCTCTCTCTCTCTTTTCCCCCTCTCCCCTCACCTTGCATTTGATCATTAGCAGAGCAACGCTACATGAGAGCAATCAGAATTAAATTTCTGTCAAATAGCTCCTATCTCTCCTTGCTTATGTAGGGCGGTGCTTCTGAAGGCTTCTGCTCATCTAAAGACATGCCATATGGAATTAACAGGTCTCAGCCTGTTGGCAGGATGGTTTGCTACCTTTCAAACACGTACCAGACCAGGTTGGCCATTGATCCGATCCGTTTGTGGCAGATGAAGTGGGGGGGGGGCAGCTGAGAAACTCACATTTTGCAAGTATGATTCCTGTTCAGAGACACCAGCCTGTTCCTGACATGCTAGTTTAATGAAAAGAAGGGCCAGAGGTGACGTGATAGCAGTGTGGCAATATCTAAGGGGCTGCCAAAAAGAAGAGGGGATCAGCCTATTTTCCAAAGCCCCAGAAAGCAGGACAAGAAGCAATGGATGGAAACTAATCAAAGAGAGAAGCAACCTGGAACGAAGGAGAATTTTCCTGACAGAACAACTTGCCTCCAGAAGCTGTGGGTGTTCCAACGCTGGAGGTTTTAAAGAAGAGATTGGACAACCATTTATCTGAAATGACCTAACCTTTTTGCCATCGTGTGCCAGAGTGGGGGGAGCATGGGGGGGTCATGTGCGTGCGTGCCCACACCAATAATTCTATGCGCCCCACCCCTGCACATGTGTGTGCAACCTCCCCCCCTCCGCGCTCCCCCTGCTTTTGGCACATGATGGCACAGTGGGCCCAGTAGGCCCGTTTTTTGCCCTCTCCGGGCTCCAGAGGCTTTTTAGGAGCCTGGGGAGAGCGAAAATGGCCTCCTCCCCCCCCCGAGGCCCTCTGGAGGCAGGAAACAGCCTGTTTCCCTACTTCCAGTGGGCCCAAAAGGCCCAAAAACCAGCTGGCCGGCCCGTGCATCCGTGCCGGAGCTGAGCTTGTGTGCCCACCAATATGGCTACGTGTGCCACCTGTGGCACGCGTGCCATAGGTTCGCCATCATTGGTATAGGGTTTCCTGCCTGAGCAGGAAGGATCAGAAAACCTCCAAGGTCCCTTTTAATTCTGTTGTCTGCTATTCTGTTATACTGTATACAGAGCTGAACAACAGTCATTTCTTTTATAAGGAGCACACTGAGCAGCTATGGAAGATCCAAATGGAATAAATCTCATTAGAAGCCTTTTTTTAATTTAGGTATTATTTTTAGGTATTTAGGTATTATTTTTAATTTAGGTATCATCTTAATGCATTAGTACCAAGACAGAACTGCAAATGTAGAATGAAAAGGTTAGAAGGAACCTTGAGGTCTTCTAATCAAACTCCCTTTGCAATGCAGGAATTCTCATACCGCCCTGGACAGTATGAGAATTCCTGCCTGTCTAATGGCCGTATAAACTTTTATTGAATAATTCTACTGATGGAGAACTCCATAAGATCAGAGCATCTTCATTCTCATCTATTAAACCCCACTTTTTTCAATTTTCAAGACTACAGCTTTTCCTTTCCTTTCCAATTGATGCTTTTTACCATCTTTTCATCTTACATTTTGTCAGTCTTTCATATACTATGATCATCATTAGATGAATCCACAAACATTAAGTTCTGCTGCCTATTATGATTTTAGGCAATTGAAAGTTTTATCTAATGCTTTTTATTAAGAGCCTTGAGTGTTCGGAGAGGGGTGGCATATAAATGTAATTAATTAAATTAAATTAATTAAATTAAGAGGCCTCTCTGTATGCAAAGTGTATTGAAGAAGTGCCTTTACACTGAATTTCTAGATTTACTTTAGAAAACATCTCCATACTGAATTAAAAAGAACAGCACAAAATAGACTTACACATATCCAAGTAATAAACAAAATTTCTTGGAAGCAATCCTTTCATAATTTCAGAGTTTTAATTTTTAGTATGCATACTGGAATTCTCCTTGGAATCTGAGAAAAAAATTCTTTATCTCCTTTTCCCACCAGTTCCTATCCACATAGAATAATAAATCTGCAGTTTGTTATCATAAGAGAATTAACTAAAGCAAGAATAAAAGGGCATCTTTCCTATTTGAGCCATGGTTATTGGAATAATTTCTAGAACAAAAGAATGTGGCCTTTATATTCTTGATGAAATTCCTGAAAAGATGTGATGGTCACACCTCAAGAAGCGATCTCGAAACGTGCAAAAAAATCATAATATTCCAGAGAAGTTCGTTCATCTTGTTTACATGGAATTGCATTCTGTAAAAGACTTTCATGTTCTATGATGCATATCCATCTTTTATGAGTTGGTGCAAAAATATGAGAAAATATATAATTGGTGAGATTGCAAGTGAAAGAATGAGAAGCTGTTTTTGATTTTCTATCACTCCAATTATCAGATAAATCCAGGTATTCTATAACAAGAGCACTTTAATGAGATAAACTGGAAATGAAAGAATTAACTTATTTATTAAAAGCATGTTCATGTTGTTATTCGGGTAAAAATCCCTCAGTGCAACTAGTAAATATAAAAGAACAGTATTATATAAATAAAACAAACATCAAGAGCATCCTCCAAAAGCTACAAAAGAGGTTAAATAAAACAAAGCTGGATCAGAACAATATAAAAATCTACAATTAAAATGTGTGGAACAATAAAAAGATGTTTATCAGAGCTCTGCCACTAATGACACGTGACAATGGTAAGAAAATCATTTGGTGGGTTGCCTTCGCTCCTGTGGCAGAACTACAACATTATGACTGGAAGTACACGTTTCTATTTTCAAGGATATACAGTTGCACATGATGTCTAAGTTCAGATATACCCCATCTTGAATGTACCTTACTTCAACTGGCAGGCAGTATCCAAGGAAGATCTCAGCAATCAGAGAAGTTTATATAGGAATTATCAATCCTTAAAGTGATCTGGTCCAAAAAAGGGTAGAGGTAGAGGATTATATGCTCAAAATCAGCACTTTGTGTAGAAAAAACTGGGTGAAATCCAATTTCTCACTACAGTTTGTGAAGCAGCCCCCTCACAACTTATTTTAACTATATGAAACTATAATCAATGAATGGCTCTCTAAAAATCTGACAGAAATATATTTCCTATCAGCTGCACCTGATTCTTCTTGAAGAAATGTAGGTGATTGAAGCTGAGACCTTTGATGTTCATAACATATACTCAATTTATAAAATATGGTCCATCATTTTTGAATAATCTACTTCCGAGGTGATTAGAGTACAAGTAGTCCTTGTTAAGTGACCACAATTGGGACCAGCTTAGTCATTAAATGAAAGCACACATCTGTTTATGATCTTACTTCAGCTTTCTTTTGCTTTACAGACCGTGAAAACCGTAAATGTCAGGCCTGATTGCAAAATTACTTTTTCATCGCCATCATAACTGCGAACAGTTGCTAAACAAGGCAGTCACTAAATAAGGATTACCTGTAGTACTAATTCTGGTCAGATCATGTCTATTCAGAAAAAGCTGCAAGTAGTGTAAATTTTTATCTTATGGAAAGAGGTTGGTGGTTCAGAGACCACTGGCTTTCAAGAGGTAAACTGTCCTTTAATTTCTATAAATTCTGTGATTATCAAATGCCCAATTCCATCAGGTCAGTTTTTGCTATTAAGATTTTGACTCTGATGTTAACACTAAATAGTAGCACATAAACATGTACAAACGGATAAATTAAACAGAACATATGAATATCCTGATTAGAGGCATCTCAAGTCCAACATTGTACTCCCAACAGAATTCAATTGAATGCTTTTGTGATACTCCATGCTTGGTATGAGGGCAAAAGTGATAATGACTGTTAGCCTTTGATCAAACCCTCTGTCAATATGAATCTGTCTTTTATTCTATCTCAGGGGTGTCAAACTCAAGGCCCAGGGGCTGGATTTGATCTGTGGGGTGCTTAGATCTGGCCGGTGGGGCTGCCCTGGAAACAGTGAAGGACTGGCCCACGTTGTCTCTGCCAGCGAAACGGAGCTCGGGAGCAGCCCTCCCGAGCTCCACTTTCGCTGGCAGAGGGTTGCAGGAGACCATCGCAGCCAAAAACAGAGCTCGGGAGCCCATTTCCACTGGCAGAGTGGTCGGACCGCCACAGGCACCCCCAACACGAGTGACGTCAAGCTGGCCATGCCCATCCTGGCCACGCCTACCCCGGCTCACCAAGGTCAAACACAACCCTGATGCGGCCCTCAATGAAATTGAATTTGACAACCCTGTTCTATCTGGTAGCCATGTTCACAGCAAGTGACAGTGCCTAGCCAACCATAGAAGACAGCTTCCATATTGTCAACAAGAAAGCAATATAATGTAGATGTATCCTATAATCAGAGCTAACCTCAAGGGAGACTTGACTGTAGCTGGCAGGGAAGCAAATTAGCAATAGCAATAGCACTTAGATTTATATACTGCTCCAGTGCTTCACAGCATACTCTGAGCAGTTTACAATATCAGCATATTACCCTCTATAATCTAGGTTCTCATTTTGCCAACCTTGGAAGGATAAAAGGCTAAGCCAACCTTCAGCCCATCAGGATCAAACTCAAGACGATGGGCAGTTAGCCTGCAATACTTCATTCTAACCATTGCGCCACCACGGCTCTAATGATCAACGTACTGTGTTAAGATGTTTTCAGTTAGACTCTCCGACGTTCAGCTTCGTTTAATGACCCCCACACCGTAACATCAAAAGGGAGAAAAATCCCAATTCATGTCCCCCAGCCTTTGTTCATGCTTCTCTATACCACCAAACCCTTCTTTTGATTAGTCTTTTCCTCCTATCTAAAACACTGCATTTAAGCTTGCTTTATTTCCGTCTGTGGAATCCTTCTCTTACTCTTCATTTCCTCTCCGACAGATTTTCCCTTGAGCTCAGCATGTCCTACGCAGGTCGCCTCGCTGCCTTCTTCAGTTTTCTGACTTCCCGAAGTTCTTTCTTCATATGCTTAATGGCTTGCAAAATACTGCTCTGCTGGGGGTCATCTGCAGCTTCCTCCAAGTAAAGGCGGAAGTGTTTGATGATTTCTAAGAGTAGCACCTCTGGGTCTTCCCTTGCTGGGTGAAGATGTAGCACCCTCTCACAGGCGATGGCGTAATTTTTGTGCCAGTTCACTGGATGAGTTTTATACGTGTTTACAATTTCCTTGTACAGCTGTAAATCACAGAAGACGGTTCAGGGTTGAAGAGAAATCTCAGAGATATCATTTCCCTGTATTACAAATATTTGCTCACTTTTTTTTTTAAAGCAGTCGAGCCTGGCATAAACAACATCTATATATAATAAAGTCTCTGCAAGTGAAGAAAAATAGGACACCGTTTATGAGCATATGTTTTAAACCATGAAATGCAACTCTCTGCATTTCTATTCAGAAATAAGCTCCGCTAAGCACTCCCCAGCCAGTGTGTATAGGATTTGAGCTAAGAGGTTTCATGTGTGCGGCTGATGATTGGGCATACTGCTCTGATGTCATCCAACTGAAAAGAGGAATAAAGATGTAGGATTCTCAAGGGGAAACTAAAGAATAATAATCCCAAGGATAAATCTGAAAGGTAAACTGGAAGAGAAAAGTAAGAGAGAGAAGCTAGAGAGTAAAAAGGGTGACGAATAAGCAAAAATGAACTGAAGATATGTGTTTTGTTTCTAGTGGAGCCATTCTGCCTATGAAAACAGCAAAAGAAAAGAACTGAACTTGGGTTATTTCTTTAAATTGTATCCATTTTACTGCTAGGCCACCATTATTCTAACGCGGGAAGTGGAAAGAAAAATGTACATGCACTTGAGTTGCTACTGATACAGAATCAACATCCATCCTTTTTCATATTCACACAATTACGAGACCTGCAGGTAACAAACCATGAGCAAAGCTCTAATGGGGGGGAAGGGGAGACAGAAAACTTGCTGTGATACTATTCTTTAGCTAATCACCCATAGGCCTGTCTTTGCTCGCTGGAAATAGCTTCCTGCTTCTGCTTGGTTCTACAAGTTGTAGATGAGAACTTGGTCCTACTTTTGTACAGGAACCTCAAGGCACTACCTTAAGTGGACTTTCATAGTTGCCATCCCCACTAGTCTGCTAACCTTCCCAAGTAAGCTTAGCTGTGGCACCTAACTTGTTATCACAGGACAGTGAAAAAGTCCCACAGTTCTGAGGCAAAGTGAAGGAGAATCTCTCCAGCTATCTAGAGGCAGCACTCAACAGCAGTGAGGTAGAAACAGCTATCGTGCCCTCACGAATGAAGGCAAATATACGTATCCCAAAATAATGTTGCAGGATCCAATCTGGGACCAGAGGTTTAGTCTTCCGGGTTTTCAGACTTGTGCTGGAGCCCATCCTCAGGGAAATTCTCTCGGCGGGAACATTCTGCTAGAGAGAAATCACTGACGATGGGCTTCAGCATGAGTCTGAAAGCTTGGAAGACTAAACCTCTGGTCCCTGTGACTGACCCAGATTGGATCCTACAGCTGTCATGCCTTATTCGGAGCCCTAAAGCAGGTGACGGCAGCAAGGAAAAGATATCAACCCAGCCTTATGCCTAGTGGCCAGACAGATGGAAATGGATCTCCTGGTTGTGGCTTTACTATTTTATATAAATTGATCTGATGACTGGAACCAGTGGAAAGATCAACACTTATCAACCATATAAACACAGGGATAGATACCACCCAGATCCCAGGCACATCCCTTGGTGCCTAAATGACATTTTAAATAAAGTTTATTTAGTAAAAAATATTAAATATGAAGCTGGTCTGTTATAAAGCCTCAGCCCCTAGCAACATAATGACTTTCAGGGACATTTGGGGGTATGGTACAGTTTCCCCCAAAATAAAGACATTCCCTGATAATAAGCCCAATCGGGCTTTTAAGCACATGGCAATAAGGCCAAGCGTTTATTTCAGGGTTCAAAAAAATATAAGACAGGGTCTTATTTTCGGGGAAACGTGGTAATTGGCCCACTCAAATGAGAGGGAGCATCATAATAATCTAGCAAAGTGTTTCTCAACTTTGACAATTTTAAGATGTGTAGATCTCAACTTCCAGAAACTCCCAGCCATCATCTGGTTTGGGAATTCTGGAAATTGAAGTTCACACATCTAAACACCGGTCTAAACAGATGCATTAACACTGACTTACCTTGACACCCATTTTGTGAATAGCCAGGTTTCCTACTGCAGTACATTTTGACTACACCCATTACATAGTGCAAAACTACAAGTGATTCCTGCCCCAAAATTATGACTTATTCATGTGCAAACATATAGACCGCTTGAGCTTTTCTATCCCAAAGTGGAAAGTTCTCACCTTATAAGCAAGTGTGTAAAGCTTTGCTTTCTCTTCCACAGATGTGGAACCAGTTTCTGCAAGGTCAAAAAGAAAGAAGGCTGTTTTCATCCTAGGAGAGAAAAAAAACAACAGAAGTGAACTGTATATTCTTTAAAAACCAACTGACATCCATGAAGGAGGAGGTAGGATTCAATTCCCCATGGAATGATTGTACCCCAATTCACTATACTGAGCTGCTGTTTACTGGATATGGCATTAGAAGCTGTACATCTGAAGGGCACCAATTGCCTTAATTTATTAACTCAAGGTAATATTCCATTCCTCTGCTAGACAGCAACTTCTTAGGTTGTCACTGTGCTTCTTCTGAGTTTTACCTGCTCAGTGCTACAATGTGCAATATAATTAATTTGTATGTAGATTGATATGATTATCCTCTCTTTCAGACCTTTTCTGAAGCATCGGAAAGAAACAGGGTCTCACCTGGCTTGCCACATCTCTTCATTTGCTACTAACTCCCAGGAAGATGAGTCAAACCTTAAAAAAGATACAGGTAAGTTGATATGCAGGACCAGGCAGAGGTCCCCCAAAGACAGAGCATGAACAGGATAACTAAAACTTTCCAGATAAAGCTGATGGGAATGAGTATGATGATGTTATCCCTTCAGTCATGTCCATTGACGATTCTATCCAAACCCTCTCTGGATCCATACCAAACATACTTTTGACGCTACCACTATATATTCATTAATGACAAAAAGAATGAACGGTGGGAAGTTTTACATTTGCACTCTTCCAACTCCCTTCTTGCAACTTTTTAGAAGCTACTATCAACTACCGTATTTTTCGGAGTATAAGACGCACCTTTTTTCCCCCAAAAAGAGGGTGAAAATCTGGATGTGTCTTATATTCTGAATGTAGCCCCGCCCAGCTTCTCAAATTGAGGTTTCAAAGGCTGAAAAAACCATCAGAAAAAAAGCCCCCAAACAGAGCTTCAGAGGGTTTTTTCTGAAGCTCTGTTTCGGAGACTTTCAGAGGCAGGAAAAAAAGTTTTTTCTGAAACAGAGTTTCAGAAGTTTCAGAGGCAGGAAAAAAAAAGCAAAACAAAGCAAGGCACAGAGCTCACAACCAAGGAACCTGTTGCTAAAATTCACCTCTGGGAATGGCTAATTGGGGGTATTCTGGGAGGCCGATCCACCCACCAATCAGCTTTTTTCTTCTTTTCCTCCCCAAAAACTAAGGTGTGTCTTATATTCCGGTGCATCTTATACTCCGAAAAATACGGTATGTGTCACTTACCTTCCATATTCCTCAGTCCAGTTGTAGAGATTTTGGGTACGCTCAACCCACATTTCAGGATCAAAGGGAACTTTTGAAGATACAAGTTTATCACAAGAGCCCCAGGGCCAAAGGGAATAGTCTTTTTTCCAGGTAGGGTCACCTTCATGGAGTCCAATGCAAACAAAGGTGTCTTTGCTATTACAAAGAAACAAATTATTAATTTAAAAAGGTAAGTGGACATGTAGAATGGTGCTTGTCTATGATAGCTCTAACAGCAACCAATATGAAGATAGCTAGGAGTGATGGTTGGTTTATTTTATGTTGAATAGGTTCAGTTGTGTAAATGATTAGAAATACTTGTCTAATCTTGTACTAGATCGGGATGTCAAACTGGTGGCCTACGCACTGGATGGTTCATGCACAGGCTACACCCACCCCAGCTCCACGAAGGGAAAAAACATCACAAAACATCATGTGATGGCAACATGACACCATGAGTTTGACACCCATGTCCTAGATACAGGATGAGGACGAGAGTTTTCTTCAAGACTTCATAAAAATTCAGAACAGGACAAGGCCATTTAGGCTACTGAACTTTGCTCCACAGAACAACCCAATAGTCCTCTACTTGAACATCACCAGTGACGGGAATATCCTACCTCTCATAATAATTGATCAAACCGATCTTGTTATTGGGAAGGCTTTCCCCCCACTAATATTCAAATAGAATTTTTCTTCTTTAACTTAAATCAGGAGTCCCCAACCTGTGGGCCATGGGCCACCAACCTGGAAAGGTTGGGGAACTCTGACTTAAATCAATTATTCTATGTCTGAAATGATAGAAAGCAGATCTTAGCCATTTTTTGTGTGATATCCTTCCATACTCTCAAATCAACCACAAACTTGCGGCGTCACATTATCATCACGTGACATGTTGCAATGTTTTTCCCCTTCACGGAGCTGGGGTGGGCATGGCCTGCATGTAACGCATCTGGCCCGTGGGCCGCCAGTTTGACACCCTGCTCCACAACCATTGACACAGATAAGCCTTCAGGTGGCCTTAATGACTTGCTAAAAGAATGCAAATGACCAGCTGTCTGCAAGGAGTATAAATCCTTCTATTCCCCACTATCCAATCAGAGCTGAAGAAGCTTCTTGGATGAGAAGCGAAATGTCTTCAAAGAAAAACCAGAAAGTCCAGTTGCCTCTTGAAAAAGCACCTTTGGGACAACGTATTGATACATATAAAAATGGCCCTGACTGTTATATGGAAGTGAAAGTAAACATAAATTAAGGCTACCCACGTTTCCTTTTATTTTATCTCAAGTTTTTAATATCCTTGACTTTACATCACTTACTCCTTTTCATGAACACTGTATAACACTATTTAACATGGCAGAGAATACAGGTATGTATTTAGGCATGCATCCATGTATGAATGTACACTAGTAGGTGAAAAGGAATGCTTACTGTTTATTTACTTTGAGGAAATGATGAAGGTTAAATGTGATTGTTCCATCTGGTAATGGCACTTCTACAGGATTCCAACGGTTGCCAGGAAAGGTGACACCAGGTAAATGTTTAGCCAGCTTTGGCAAATACCAATGGTAAGTCATCATCTAGCACATGGAAGAAACTGTATTTATTTAAAATATTTACATACCACTCTGGCTACCATTACTTAGCCAGCAGCTGTGAAAGTTGGACCATAAGAAAGGCTGAGCGCCAAAGAATTGAGGCCTTTGAACTATGGTGCTGGAGAAGACTCCTGCGAGTCTCTTGGACTGCAAGGCGATCAAACCGGTCAGTCCTAGAGGAGATCAACCCTGACCGCTCTTTAGAAAGCCAGATCCTGAAGATGAAACTCAAATATTTTGGCCACCTAATGAGAAGGAAGGACTCACTGGAGAAGAGCCTAATGCTGGGAAGGATTGAGGGCAAAAGAAGAAGGGGACGACAGAGAACAAGGTGGCTGGATGGAGTCACTGAAGCAGTAGGTGTGAGCTTAAATAGACTCCAGAGGATGGTAGAGGACAGGAAGGCCTGGAGGAACATTGTCCATGGGGTCGTGATGAGTTGGACACGACTTCGCAACTAACAACAACAACTTAGCCAGCACACATACATGTGCGCTCTCTTGCTCTCTCCACATACACACACAAACATGATGAATTCTTTAAAGTAGGACATCTATGAACAACATCTCATAGAATATCATGACCCAATGTTTCTCTTTTGATATTTCCAGCCTGCTTTGGAGAAGAAGTGAACCACATTTAAAGGCAAGGTAATTCCTGCTTTCCATCACTGCAACATTCAAAGAAGACTGACAGCTGTTGAACTTGCCTTCTGTTTTTTGCCAGCTCCCTCCTCTCTCAGAAGCAAGAAACTAGCCCAGAGGCTACTTTCAGTTATTCAGTACTACAGGACCCAGTTAGTTGCACAATAATGATCTTGTAACAAGAAGCACATTCATAAATCAGGAAAACACTATTCACCAATCACCCAGAACAGATGCAATATGTGAGGATAGAAATCGGCAATAGAGACAGTATTATCCTATACTGATCTCTATTCAGTTGTCATTAAAGGTGCTAAGACACTGTGAGTTCTCTATATTTAGTATCTCCATGGCAGAAGCAAAATTCAAAATGGAGACTTCTGGTTTGCAGCCATTCTATGATATTCTACTGACCTCTTGGTCAACTAAGCTGATATCAGGTCTTATACCCTCACAATGATGCATGTAGCGAAGAGAATTCCCAGGCAGGTCCCCTCTTAGCAAGATGATGGCATCTGGAGGCATGGAGGACAAAAGATTCATGGCAAACTGGTCAACAACATTGTTGTTACTTTGGTCACAGACACTGTTTCAAAAGGGAAAATTTAAAAAAAGAAAGATTTGTCAATCTAACAAGCAAACATTTTGTTTTCAGTCCAACCCCAGGTAGCTACATCAACTACAGCCTTTGAAAGGAAGGATGCTATGCACAGGAGAAGAACTTTGATGGTAAAAATGGGCCATCAGACACCTCAGGTATGCTGCAATGGATAAAGTGCTAAGCCTAGAGCACTGTGTACCCAGATTTCAATCCCCCTCTCAAGCAGAAAACAAAGCACCCCATTCTTGTATCATCACTTTATTTCAAAACTAAATTCAAAAACCAAAAATTCATTCTTTAAAAATTTTTTAAAAACGATGGCAATAGCCCAAGATCCCGTTTGGAAATAGGCCCAACTGCTTAGGAACAAAAAGCGACCAAGATACAGGCGTTTCTCCTACTAGCTTGCTGATAAATTGCACATTTTTCTGCCTATAGCAATAGCAATAGCACTTAGATTTATATACCACTTCATAGTGCTTTACAGCCCCCTCTAAGCAGTTTACAGAGTCATCATATTGCTCCCAACAATCTGGATCCTCATTTTACCGACCTCGGAAGGATGGAAGGCTGAGTCAACCCTGAGCCTGGTGAGATTCGATCTGCCAAACTGCTGGCAGCCGGTGATCAGCAGAAGTAGCCTGCAGTACTGCACTCTAACCACTGTGCCACTGCGGCTCATAGTAGCCATTTTATGATTAGGAATCCTCCCTAGGGAAGGTAGCTCTTTTTACTCATGTCAACGGCTTGCTCTTCCAAACTTCAAACATACCAAGCCCCTAGCATGAGAAAACACTACCAAGAAAGTAAGACTGACATGAAGTTTTATTAATCAGGGCTAATGTTAGGATACAAGGGCTTAGGATCAATGTAAAATTTGTGAAATGTAAAATTTGTTACTACCAGTTCTGTAGGCGTGGCTTGGGGGGGTAATATGACTGAATGGGCATGGCCAACTTTTTTTTTTTTTAACTTTTAAAACCATTTTTTCTACAACCTCTTTGGCTGAAGAGGTTGTAAAAAAAATGCTTTTAAAGTCTCCGACAATCCCAGCTGACTTGCCTGATCGGCAGAGGCTTTCTTTTTTGTTTTTTTTAAGCCTCTGATGATCCCAGCTGACTTGCCTGATCGGCAGAGGCTTTTTTTCCTTTTAAAAACATTTTTTCTATAACCTCTTTGGCCGAAGATGTTGTAGAAAAAATGCTTTTAAAAATTAAAAAAAAGCCTCTGATGATTGCGCGGCTCAGCTGGGCAATGGGGGGGGCAGGGATGTTTGCTACCGGTTCTCCGAACCACCCGCCTCCATCGCTACCGGATCAGGTGATCTGGTCCAAACCAAGAGCATTTCCCCCCTGCTTAGGATGCAGACTCTCAGAAACTGAATGAGTAAACTTCCTGCTCTCATTGACGAATCAATTCATTAAAGGAAAGCACTCTGTGTGAGATTTGAACCTCTCTTTCCCTAAGTGCAGAACACAGAGACTAGCTGCTTTTTCCCCAAGAAGCAACATCCATTTGTGTTTTTTATTTTTTTTACTTTAATTTATATGCTGCCCTTCTCCGGAGACTCAGGGCGGCTTACAATGCGTTAAGCAATAGACTTCATACTTTTGTATATTTATACAAAGTCAGCTTATTGCCCCCACAATCTGGTCCTCATTTCACCTACCTTTGAAAGGATGGAAGGCTGAGTCAACCTTGAGCCTGGTGAGATTTGAATTTGCAGTAATTGCAAGCAGCAGTTGTTAATAACAGTGCTTTAGTCCACTGTACTACAGGCTCTTTTTTTGTTCTTGGTTCTCAACATCCTTCCTAACTTCAGTGAGTTATCTTACACTGGTTGTCCTTAGTCAAAAAAATAGGAATATGATAGAGAAGTGCAAGAATCAAATCCCCAGCTAGAAACTTTTGGGTAAATCTTTGCCTACCACAACCTATGGAGATAACAGAAGACAGCAAAAATTCTAGGTTCTATGTACATATTACCCTGAGTAATTTGGGGGAATGGAGAAGAAAAATATATAGACATTAGTGCTCAGTCCAATAAACATTATTAACTGCTGCCTCCCTGTTAATTACCTGTAATTGGAATAGATTTGAGCAGTAACAAGAACAGCTGCCAGAAGCCATTCCAAACTGTAAATCATTCTGCTGTTTCCAAGAAATATCTCACCAAGAAAAAAGAGTAAAGAGAAGCCAAAGCCAGCTAGAACAACAATCACTGCATTGCTTTGCATCCAGAATCGCTCGACCTGTTGAAGAATAGAATAACAGCGTTAGAAGGGACCTTGGAGGTCTTCTAGTCCAATCCCCTACTTAGGCAGGAAACCCTATATCCATGATGGCGAACTTATGGCACACATGTCACAGGGGGCACACGTAGCCATATCAGTGGGCACACCAGTTCAGCTCTGGCGCGCATGTGCGCGCCAGCCACTTGATTTTTGGGCCTTCTGGGCCCACCAAAAGTAGGGAAACAGGATGTTTTCTGCTTCTGGAGGGCATGGGCGAGTGGGGAAGGCCCGTTTTTCTTTCTCACCTGGCTCCAGATCCTCTCTATGCATCTGGGGAGGGCAAAAACAGCCTTCCCCACTCCCTCAGAGGCCCTCCGGATGCCTGAAATGGCCCATTTCCCAACTCCCGGTTGGGTTACATTTTTACAGCTTTCCGATACCGGCATCTTTAATAATATCTATAACCAACTATATACACGTACATTTTATATATTACTTTACTAATTTCTATATTCACTACAATTTATACCTATCAATTATACAATATCTATAATATCTTCTCTTATGTCTATACATTTATACATTAATTTTGGATTGTTTCTCCAACCAGTTATACCATCTAGTCCATGTCTCGTAATAAATTGTTTCCTCTCTGTCTTTTAATTCCATTGTTAATTTATCTGCTTCTGCACATTCTAGCACCTTTTTAATGATCATCGTATTTGATGGAGCAAATCTTTGGAAACAAAGATGGAACCACAGTGTTATTGGAACCACAGAAAATATTGTGGTTTTGTCCTGTTCTGGAAGAGTGATGGTTTATTGCACTTTTCCCAAGCATGTGAATGCAGCTTTTGAGAATATGGTGCTTCTGGGGCAATGTTTCCCAACCTTGGCCATAGCCAGGGATGTGGACGTCAACTGTCGGAATTCTTATAAATGGCTATTCTGGCAGTGGAGTTTTGGGAGTTGAAGTCTACAAACCCAGAAATGGATAAGGTGGGAAATACTGTTCTAGGGGATTATGGATTTTGAAGATGATGTAGCCCAATCTAAAATGTGCTTTTATTTTATTAAATTTCTACACTGCCCATCTAACCTGGATGGTTTACAACATCACTTTTATATTGGTTTCCAGCTTCCCCCCCTGTTAAGAGGATCAAATAGCAGGAGCATTCTCTGCCAGAGACCTCAGTGAAGTGTTGTGATCCAAGAGAGACCATTTGAGGCCAAACAGGCAAATATCTTAGCCTGGAACAAAAGTACTTTTTATTTGTGTGCTTCCAGCTTTTAAACAACAATGTTTGGAGGGTGTTTACAATAATACTGTATATGAATCTGCAAAATGAAAGCAAGTTTCTAAAATGCATGGTACCTCCCTTCCAGAATCTCACTTCTGTTTTTAAATTTAAATGATCCCTTTTAATTAAGCAAACTCACCACCCCCTTAAACAGAGGCTTTGAAATATCCAAATTTGCCCTCCAAGCAAAGAAAAAAGAATACATCAATAACATTGACGTAAACAGCCAAATCAGCTGTGACTTCTCTGTCTTCGGCCTAAAGTGGAGGGAAAAAATATAATTTAAAAACTTTATAAAGACAGTTTACACATGCAACAAGAAATTGCAAAATGAATAAAACCTATTACTTACACGATTCTACATCTAACACAAATTAAAAGCAGAGGTGAACAGCAGTGACAGTAACTGGAACAAATCATGAAAAATAAAATCACACAACAGTTGTTCTCCAACTTAGTTCCCTCCAGGTATGTTTATACTACAATTCTGCTACTCCCAACTATGGCAGAGGACATCAGCTGGGAATGATTGTTTTAAGGAAATAAATGAACAAGTTTTCTCAAAAGCTAATTTTTTTTAAATAATTGAATATAACAAATATACTGAATTTACCAAAATGAAAATTGAGTCTGAACTGAAGATGATCCCATAGCCCAATCTAAGAGCAGATAAATCTATATCTATCTATCTGCATGTCTGGGCAAACTCTTCCCCACTTTATTAATCTAGGGCAGGGGTGTCAAACTCAATTTCATTGAGGGCCACGTCAGGGTTGTGTTTGACCTCAGGGGAGGTATGGCTGGGGTGGGGTGTGGCTGGGGTGGGCGGGGCCACCTCAATATCACTCATGTCAGAGAGCCTATGGAGGCCCAGGCAGGGCTGGGGGGGATCCATTGCAATGGCCTCCTGCAGTGCTCTGCCAGCGAAAACAGAGCTCAGGAGGGCCGCGTGTGTGTTGGGAGCGCCTGTGGTGTCAGGAGTGCCTGTGGTGGCCAAGGCAGGGCTGGGGGGAGCCATTGCAACAGCCTCCTTCAGCGCTCTGCCAGCAAAAATGGGGCTTGGGAGGACCGCATGTTTTTGCTGGCAGAGGCATTGCGGGCTGGTCCTTCATTGTTTCCAGGGTTGCCCCGCAGGCCGGATCTAAGCACCAGGCGGGCTGGATTTGGCCCGTGGGCCTTAAGTTTGACACCCCTGATCTAGGGTTACCAACTCTATATGAAACCAATCCTGAAGACTTTGTCTTCTACAATAAATGTATGTGACACACTTGTGTGCATACACAAAATATGTGTGTCTGCACAAACATATATAAACACTATATAAGTGTTTATATATATATATATATAAACATATATAAACACTTATATATATAAGTGTTATATATGTTTGTGCAGACACACATATTTAACTTCCAAAAGCTTCCATATATTTACATATATAAATACACACATATTTAACTTCCAAAAGCTATAATCTTAAAAAGGCAGAGCCAGACGCCTACACATCTGGGAGAAACTGAGTTCAGTCTAACTTTCTGGATCTCCAAATAAATCTCCAATTTGGAAATATTTAAGCCTGAAATAAACCCCAGTACCTCACTGCACAACACACACATGCAGCAATTGCAAAGGCCTGGACAACGAGGGAAAGTTCCATCTTCATGTGGGTCACCTGAAAACTGCAAGGAAGCCAGAGAACAAGAGTATTTGGCAACTATAATGACAGCAAAAGTTCATGGAAAGATGAAGGGGGCTACACCCTATAAAATCATCTCTTGCAGAAGAGCTAAAGGCAGATGTCAGAGCCTCTGGCAAAAGCAGTAGCACTTATATACCACTTCATAGTGCTTTACAGTCCCCTCAAGCAGTTTACAGAATCGGCATATTGGCCCCAACAATCTGGGTCTTCATTTAACCGACCTCAGAAGGATGGACGGCTGAGTCAACCATGAGCCGGTTAGGATCAAACTGCTGGCAGTTGGCAGAATTAGCCTGCAATACTGCATTCTAACCACTGCGCCAGCATGGCTCTTTGGATGCTTTCACAATGCAGAGTAAAACCACTGAATCAGACAGGAATTAGGTGCCTGGAAAGGAAGTGCTGAGCTCTCATCCTAAAATCCAGTCTAACAGACACCCAAACAGGGCCTGAATCATACCTGTTCTCCCTTTTTTCAATATTTGCTTGAATCTGGCACTCAGAAACGGCTGGGGTCCACCAGCTATCACAATCAAATAACTCACAACGTCAAAGGAGAATAATTATTTCTATCCATATCACTTTCACAAGTTCACCCCTAAATTCATTCTATCTTGTTATTGCAATCCATCCTTTCTTAATCCACACATGCATTTGCATTTGTTTATTTTACTCCACTTGGGGATTGTTTTAATGGAAAGTGAGATACAATGGTTATTGTAAATACATACATTTTAAAAATGTGTCTTATTCTTTCTGCTAAGATCTTGAAACATTTGGGATGTCGAAAAGGAATACAGGATGAAGATCACAAGACAGTACTTTCCCCAAAGTCTTTTAAATCTTCCATTGCCTAAAGGACAAATTAAAGCCGCAATCTTGCACCCACTTACTGCAAATAAGATCCGCTGAACGCAACAGGAAATGTTTGTGTCAGATACGGTTATAATTACACTATAATCCATACAATTTGCATTCACTTACAGCAATACATCAGTCGTACTGGATCCATTTTCCAATTTTGCCTGCACAGAAAAGAAGAAAATCAGGATTATTTATATAGTGTAAGTCTAGCTATACAGTCCATTTTGGTTAACCCAGCCGGCACCCAGGATCTTTATGCTGGAATATCCATGCATTTCATCAGGAACAAGCAATTCCGAGTTATGACAGAGGGGTTTTGGTCACTATCTGGCCTGCAACCACACTATGCAATGTTAACTTAAACAATGCATTATTCAAACCAACTTCAAGGGCTCTGCAGCAAAATACTGCAGTTAAGGATTCCTGCTCAGGGCTCCAGCCATTCCATCCCAGCCTTTTTCCCTTTCTATAACCCCTATATCTTCAGACAGTCAATACTGAACTTGCTCAGTTCTGACTGGACAGTTTCAGGATTTTTTCACCTTTTAGTTCCTCCCCATCCACCCAATACATACCTATAGTCCTGGCACATCACATGTGCCAATCATTATGGGATAGCTACCGTGTTTCCCCAAAAATAAGACCCTGTCTTATATTTTTTTGAACCCTGAAATAAGCCTTATTGCCATGCGCTCAAAAGCCCAATTGGGCTTATTATCAGGGGATGTCTTATTTTGGAGGAAACAGGGTATATATAATGACAAATGGTTGAAAATGAATTCTAGATTCCCAGTTAATGGTTGCTTCATTATTTGGGTTTCATTAATGCCAATAAAGTATGTATTCACAAAGAGTTAATAACAACTGATGAACCCCATGCAGCCACGACAACATTGTACAAGATTGCAACCTCTACCAGTAAAACAAGCAAAGGGACAGAAAAATTGATGGAATCATTTCCTGTTTGTAAGCACCATCCCAGTTCAAACAGAAATTATCTGAAATACTTTCTGGCTGTCATGTGAATAAACCCTGCCAGCTGCACATGGCCAAAGGCTGTCATTTTTACTCACCGAAAAGTCCTAAGTCAGAAAAAACTGAGAATCCACTGAATATTCATGCCCAGATAGACCCGAAGCTGGCTTGACTGCTGCAATCAAACTGGCCTTAACACACAAAATACCCCTTTTGGGAAATGCTAATACCAAACATAATCCTGTCCAACGCCTGAGTTCCTCTGATCACTTCAAGGACAAGCTACACATCAATTATGTACTGTAGTAAGTTTAAAATATCACCACCGACTTCAAAACATAAAAGCAGTTAAGATGCACCTACCTAATATGAATTATACAGATAGCATGCAGGGAGCCAGTGCAGTTTACACTGGAGTTTATTGGAAGTTCAGTGTACTGGAGTTATTGGAAGTTGGAAGCTTCCTTCAACAGGAAGTGTAGTGGGTAACCAGTTGCCTTGTCTTGGCTCAGCCCACCTAAGAGGGTTGGCAATGGGATACAAAGCAGATTTCTAGGGCAGGAGGAAAGATATGATACAGATCTTTACAGCCTTCACGTTCCTCTGCCAGAAGAGAGCTCCAGGCTGCAACTGGGTTGCATTAACCTTCATGTTAAATGAAAATCCCATGACTTGAACAGCTGGAGGGGATTTAAATGATTTCTCCAGTCACCAAGTGATTACAGCTATCCTAAGGAACAGGTGCGAGGACCGCAAGCGACAAATAACAAAAACGGCAATAATTTGAAATCCCTTCTGCCTTTCAGAGACTGACCTGCGAGTCGAAAAGATGCAATATCACGCAGGTTTAGTATTTATGAGAAACTTTGTTCTTTAAAAGGAGAACTCAAATTTACCAGATTGAACGTGCCGTACTCTTCCCGGAGAAGATGGATCATAAACCCTTTAAAGGTTGTCTGGTCTCCCCAGGTCCAGCGGGCTTTGTTGAGGTAGGCAGAGATAGGCAAGTAGAGATAAGGCAGACAACCAGCCAAGAAGCAGAAACTTAACTTCAGCACATTGCTCAGGGTCAGCTCCTACACCAAAAAAACATTTTACAGCACTACATGAGTCCTCTGTTTGCATTACCGTATTTTTCGGAGTATAAGATGAACTTTTTTCCCTCCTAAAAGAGGCTGAAAATTTGGGTGCGTCTTATACTCCAAATGTACCCGTGCAGTGCCCAAAATGGTTACCTGAAACAGCTGCTGCCTTCTCTTATCCCTTCCGTGCTTCGCCTGCTTTAGTCACTGGAGCTCCCTTCTGAAGCTGTTTTTCAGCCCCAACACGAAGCGATCTTCCGTGCTTTGCCTGATTTTTGAATTGCTGCTCCCTCCGACAATCAGCTGTGCTTTAGAAGCTGTTTTTTAGCCCCAACCAGCCCCAACCTCAAAACCAGCAAGCGAACTAATGTGCTGAAGCTGACCAGGCTAAGGACTAGCCAGATGAATACCTAGTAGGCAGAAATTTTTTTCCCCTATTTTCCTCCCCAAAAACTAAGGTGCGTTTTATACTCCGGTGCGTCTTATACTCCGAAAAATATGGTATATTGCTGCAAGTGGACAGAGAAGAGAGAAGTCTTGTCTAAACTAAGCTTCAGTTGGCCCCGATCCTGCTAATCTTCAGGAAAGTTTTTAAAAGATGGCTTTTCCCCCAGATATCAGGCCAAGATAATAGATGATCCCACCTTCTGGGAGATGGACTTAAGATTGACTTATGCATTTTTAGTATTATGTCTTAATTTGCTATATTGTTTTGAAATATATCCCCTGGAATTGCAAATATGTTGAGTTGGATGCCTAGAGTGCATAAATCTTCTAAATTAGGCAGCAAACAAGTAATATACTGACGCATAGAGCTGATATCTTAATTTGCATGTGGAGTCTCAAAACATGATGTTAAAAATGGGCATTCTCCGTGGATTACTCTTGGAAGATGACATCACCCTGATCCTTTCTGCATGGCAGGATGCAATTTCAGACTGAAACAAATAGTATCTGAGGCTCCCAAGGATCACATCACTGGCACCTTTGGCCACTGAAATTAAGCCATGACAGGACCAGATAGGAGAAATGCTGCAAAGGGGAGATAAACCACTTTGCAATGATTAAAAACTGGATGGTTTTTGATCAACGCTCCCCCCACAATAATTAAATTAAAATCTAAATGTCTTAAAAGTCTAGTGCTGATCTTCTAAAGGCCATTACCAATCGGAACATCCATATTTAGAGGAGCTGAAGCTTTCTCAGCAGCATCTGTAGATGGGGAACGAAATCTGAAAAGTGGCAGGAATGGCATTGTGATGGACGTTTATGGAGATTCTCAGTCATCCAGATCATGGTTGCTAGCAATCTCAGCAGTTCCAAGAAGGTTCCACAACCATTTGCACTATTCCAGTGCAGCCTTAATGACTCTGAAAGAGTGCTAACGACCAGATAACTGCAAGGAATATAAATCCTTCCACCTTCCACCATTCAGTTAGAACTGAAGAAGCTTCTTGGATGAGAAGCGAAATGTCTCGGGGGTGGGGTGGAGTCCAGTTGCCTGTTCAGAAAGCATTTTTGGGACATTGTGATGGATGTTTCACCCCTTTTCTTTGTGCAATAATGTCACATACAAAAGGGTAAAGACTACAATCACAATACTCTCCATATTGCTGATTTTGATACCCTCACCTTCATGGAAACCCATGAGGCCTACTCTTAGGGGTACCAAAAAGGGCAACTAATCTTCTGAGAACTATGGATTATACAGGGACATAATCTGAGTTAGCCAATTTAAATTATTAAATATTATAAGCTCAGGGTAGAATTTATAGTGATATTACCGTAACACTCTCACATCCCCTTTCCTGAGAGATTCAGACTTAAAAAAATTATTGAGGCGATAGAAAGTAGTAAAGCCACTTTTTTCCTGTTAAAATGAGTGGCAAGTCATCATGACCACATGACTTGTCTCATGGAAGAGCACAGGAACCAACCAAGGATACTGAAGTGGAGTAACCATTAAATGTAATTTATAAGAAGCATTACCTGCAGAGTACATCTCCATTTAGAAGTGTTTTTAATCCAGTGGCCCTTGTTTCAAGAGAGGGTTTGAGCCTCAAACAAAAAGACCAGCTTTGGAATCTCTAAATATGCAACAAGAGGATGAAGAAGTTAACTATCTCAATAAACTTTTTAGGAAAGAGAAAGGTCATCTTGGCTTTCAGTTCTGCTTTTGCAGACTTGTTGAGAGCCTTCTTTATTTTCCGTTCCTGATTTGTAAAACAGACTCTGTCCCAAAGGTGCTTTTCAAAAGGCAACTGGATTTGCTTGGTTTTTTTCCTTGAAAAGTTTCACTTCTCATCCAAGAAGCTTCTTCAGTTCTTAGGACAATCATGACCTGGATGGTTGAGAATCTCCATAGACAAAACAGAAGCTGATTCTCTCAAACTAAAGCGGAGCATAAGATGCTTCCAAATTGCTACGGTGGCCGCTAAGAACTATAACACCAAGTGGTGTAGTGAAATATATTGTACATTGTTCAAAAATATAACAATTCTAGCATTAATAATACAATACCCCAAAGTATTCAGAAGTGTCAATGTGCTCCAAACATCTTCTTTAGCCACCAACAGATTTTCTTGTTTCATTTCATTTTTTAACATCAACATATAAACATTAAAAGAACCAGAAACTGATGTGGAAACAAGGCATGTCCAGGCAGGTAGCGAAAACAGAGAGAGTAGCAAATAATTGACAGCTATTCTGTGAATGAGCAACCTCCAACCCAGCATCTTTCTCACATACAGTTAGTTCTCGCTTAATGACCGCCCTGTTTAGCAACCCTTTGAACTTACAATGGTGCTGAAAATGTATCCTTGTGACTGGTCCTGCATTTACGGCTGTCACAGTCTCATAATTGAGATTTGGGCACTTTGTGGGTGTTTATGACCATCACATGATCACCATAAGCGTGCTTCACAGCCAGTTTCCAAAAAGCAGAATCAATGGAGAAGCTTTATGCAAATTTATGCAGCTTTATGCAAATTTATGCAGCAAATTTGCATAAAGGATGTCTTGCCTAACAACCACATCACTTAGTGATGTGGTTGCCAGTTTCAGTTTTGGTTATTAAGCAAGGACTATTCTTAAAATTCCAACTCTGCCTTTTAACTCAAAAAGACAGGATACCCTTGCAGTCATTTTTCTCATCTCCACATGTGAAACAGACAGGTGCAGATTTTTTATTAATTCTGTATCCTCCCGTTTATTATTGTTGTTGGTTGTTGACATTTGGAACCATCCATTGTTCGTAGAGTTGGCCAGATTGCGGAAGGAACTCTCCGAGCATGTTTCTAGACTTCCAAATACTCACACGCTCCCTGAACAAGCGAGAGGAAACCCACAAAGCAATGCAAAGCACGTAGATCACAATGGTATGTTGGTTACACATGCTAAGTCCACAAGAGAAGGCACCCACTTTACAGATCTGCAAAAAAAAAGAAAAAAGGTAAACATCAATTCTAACCATGGATTTAAATTGGTTTTCCAAATTGTTTTTGTTGTTACAGAAATTCTGGGACATGTAGCGGTTTGTTTTCACTGCAGCATCTGAGTAGAGTAGAGTAGAGTAGAGTAGAGTAGAGTAGAGTAGAGTAGAGTAGAGTAGAATAGAATAGAATAGAATAGAATAGAATAGAATAGAATAGAATAGAATAGAATAGAATAGAATAGAATAGAATAGAATAGAATAGAATAGAATTTTTATTGGCTAAGTGTGATTGGACACACAAGGAATTTGTCGGTGCATATGCTCTCAGTGTACATAAAGGAAGATACGTTCATCAATAATCATAAGGTACAACATTTAATGATAGTCATAGGTTACAAATAAGCAATCAGGAAACAATGTCAATATAAATCGTAAGGATACAAGCAACAAGGTTACAGTCATACAGTCATAAGTAGGAGGAGATGGGTGATAGGAACGATGAGAAGATTAATAGTAATGCAGACTTAGTAAATAGTTTGACAGTGTTGAGGGAATTATTTGTTTAGCAGAGTGATGGCATTCGGAAAAAACTGTGTCTAGTTGTTCTGCTGTGCAGTGCTCTATAGCGTTGTTTTGGGATAGGAGTTGAAACAGTTTATGTCCAGGATGTGAGGGGTCTGTAAATATTTTCACAGCCCCCTTTTTGACTCGTGCAGTATACAGGTCCTCAATGGAAGGCAGGTTGGTAGCAATTGTTTTTTCTGCAGCTCTAATTATCCTCTGAAGTCTGTGTCTGTCCTGTTGGGTTGCAGAACCAAACCAGACAGTTATAGAGGTGCAGATGATCTGCAGGAATTTTCAAGCTCCAAAGAGTGGAGCTTGCAGCATAATGGCCCAATACTGTGTTGGTCCCTTGGACAAAAGGCAGCCAGAGCTGTGGAGGATGACCACATCTGTTCACATGGCTCCATATTTACAATCCTGGAAGCCAAATGGTGACCTTGGCTGGGTCTTATAAAAGGTACACAGGTTAGTACTTGATCGGGATTACGAGAAAATCCAAGGGTTGTACAATAGTAGACAACCAGAAGTTATCTTAGGTGGGCAGAGGTTGCACACAGTATTTGGAGAACTGAGGGCTTCAGTGGGTAGGCTGAGATTGCGGTAGGTGTGATCTTGTTGCTTTCTTAGATTGGAAGGGAAGAGTACAAAACTACGCCACAAATTTGGGACAATCATGACTGAAGGGCTCCAAGGTTGCAAAAACAGCTTGTTCTGGAGCCACGTGCTGTCATGTGTTGCCTATCTTGTCCTAGGTGAACATGCTTCCCCCATCCCCAAACTGGGCTCCCTTCTGCATATCGGGGGAGGGGGAGGGGGGAGATATATTAAGAGAGACTTCAGGAAGCTACAGCTCTAGCAGAGAGTTCCTGATTACACCCAAGATCAACTTGAAAATTCACTTTGACTCATACATCACATCCTGTCACAACAGTGGCAGGACGATACATTCACCTTTCATACGAAGAGGTTCACATACCTCCATTTCAAAGATCAGTGAAGGGAAAGGACTTTAGGCCAAGATCTTGCTGCTACTGCCAGTGAAAGCTACAACTTGTCCAATTCCCAACCAGTATCTGGCAAGTTACATCCCCAATATATTCAGAGAGTCCAAGCGTGAGGAACAATTGGCTTAAGCCACCCTATGTAGTTTGGTCCTACTCCCCAGAGGCTTAAGGGGAAGGGAAACCATTCCTGAAGCCTTTTGATCCTGAGTAGGCTACCTTTGATCTCTCGTTTGCAGTTGTTGCTTCCTCGAATTGCACGGAAAGCGCCATCAGCAGCCCCACAAACAGATTGTTTAAGCTGAAAACCTCTGCTGTGATAGACCATTGCCACGTTAGACGGGAAAACGAAAACATCCCCACAGCAAAGACTCCTGCCGCCTGCGAGCCAGAAAGCCTGCAAACATAGATAACAAGAAAATGCATCTTTTCCTCCATTATTACTAGTCCCCACTCATCAGAATTAAATACAAACAAACAGATGCCACCTTCATGGTGCTTCTCCTGCTATCACCCCAAAACCCATACTGTAGCATCATGAAAAAAAATATATCTTTCTTTTGGCAAGATCCCACCAAAGCCTAGGCTGTTGGCATATTTTTTTTAACACTTGAATTTTAAATTAATAACTAATTAGGTTGTTATTACAGAAGAACAGCATCCCAAGATACTGATAAATCAAAACTACAGAAGCTTCACACATGCTAGAACTACAAAATGTTATGAGACAAGGAGTACCGTAAGGCAATTCGGTGCACCTGCCTTTATTAGCTTCTATCCAGATCAGTGTTTTTCATCCTCAGCAATTGTTGTGTGGACCTTCAAGCATGCTGGGTAATCTGGGAGTTGAAGTCCACACATCTTAAAGTTGCTAAAATTCAGAAACACTCATCTGGAGAGTCTCCACAAACGCAGTCGTAGTCAGCTCTGCTCTTTCTGGAAGCTGAAGAAGGTTGGTCCTGCTTTCGTCCTTGAATGAGGGAACTGCCTGGGACCACCAGAGCTGCTAATTGCCCTGGAAAGTTGAAAAGAACCCCTGGATATAGGCCAGGGCAAACCACATCCATGTTGCCAAGAAAACATGGACGTGATAATGTGGGACTAAAAACCAATCCCTATGAGGAAAGACTGAAGTGGCAAGGTGTTTGGAAAGAAATGTAATGCGCTCCTCAATATGCCTGAAAGGACATCACAAGGAGAAGGTCAGGGCCTCTTCTTTCTTATTCCAGAGTGTTGGATATTGAATTACAGATTCAAGTTACAGGGAGTGGGATCAATTACTTCGGTCAGTGTTTCTCAACCACAGCAACTTTAAGATGGACTTTTAACTGGCTGGGGAATTGTGGGAAGTGAAGTTTACAAATTCTAAAGTTGCTAAGGTTGAGAAACACTGACCTACAGTGATGGGGGATCTCACTCATTGGGTATGTCCAAGCATACATACTGCCATTGTCTTGAATTGTTTTAACTCAATGAATTTTTGCTTTGAGCAGAGGTTGGATTCAATGGTCACTACCAATCTGATGAGCCCATGAAATGCCTTCGTGCAACAAACAAGCAACATTGCGTGCCTAGATGCTGTGAACTACAACTTGTACAAGTATTATAAATAATATTTTTATGTAGGATCCTCTAAGCCAGGGATTCCCAACCCCCGAGTTGTAGTCCACTACTGGGCCGCAGCCCGTTCGGAACTGGGCCACAGAAGTGGTGGGTGAGTGCAGGTGTGCAGCTCCATTTGTGCCACAAGTGGGGGGGGGGTGCCTACTGCTTGCACAAATGGAGCTGCACATACACATGTAACTTGCCCACCAGCCGCACATAAACATTCTCTATCCCTCCCCGCCCCCCAGTCCACAAAGCCAGAAAAGTTGAGAATTGCTGCTCAAGTTTTATTTTTCCCACAACAGCAACAACCGTGTGACGTAGTTGGGCTGAAGGAGTGACCTTCCCAAAACCATCCAGTCAGCTTCTGTGGCTGAGAGTGCAGAATCTGGATCTCCTCAGTGTTAGTCCAATACTTTAATTGTGTCCCACACTGGCTTTATTTGTTTATGGGAATTAGTCCAAAACATCTTTATATTTCACTCTACACATAAAAGTTTTAAGTTTATTTAAATGCCACATTCAAACCTCAAAATATACTAGATTTTTTTTTCCTCACATGAAATATTGTAGTTTAAATACTTTTACACAGGCTATGGATGCTGAGACAAATATACTAATTTATTCATGCTTATTTACATAGAAAAAAATTCCAGTTAAAAATTTTCTGAAAAGCTTACGAAGTCCAATGTACAAAGATATGCTTTGTATTTTGTTTTTAAAGCTCAGAAAGAAAATATGTGAAAATTCAAGAGTGATTTTGAAAAAGCATTCCTTCGTACAACATTAACTACAGTATGCTATTCACTGCCATCAAATTTGGTGTTAGCCACTAATTTACACAGTTCTCAAGGGGGATGAGTATTGATGGAAATCCAGAATATCAGTGGCTACTTGATAGCATTTACATCTCTGAAAACATGGGCAGCATATTATGAATACCACTCACTAAAGACTGTTTGTATTTGTGAGCTTCCAAAATGCATCTGGTTGGCTGCTATTCGTGGTAAGATCTGGACTATATTTTCTGTTGGCCAACCCTCATAGCTAATACTGCAAAACTCAAAAAAATTCTCAGTGGTCACACTATTTCATTTTCCAAAAAGCTGAAGAAAAGACAAGAGGATCACCTCTTCTAGATCTGATTCCAACCCACAGATTCAAAAAAAAGCCTTTTCGGATTGAAAGTTTGGTATAAACCAAATTTACTGCAATTAACAATCTCAAGATGCAATAAGCACGAAACATATTATTCCCATATGTTTCTTCTTGTAAGGGTTTCTGGATGGCCCATATAGGAAGTCTCGAAAAGAAGCTTAATAGAGCAGAAGCCTCCTCAGTCCCAAGCTATTAAACGTATTTAAAATGTATTTATTCTGAATCCAAATAGCTCAGGGCAAACTTTCCTTAGGGAAACAATAATCTTCTATTTCACAAGTAGAGAACAAATGGGGAGAACTAGAAGTCTTAATGCAGGAAGATGAATATGATTTTGTGGGCAATGGAAGCATAGGGGGAGGAAATTCATAAGTGGAATGTAAGGATTGAATGCATGGGTACAATACATTTGAAAGAAACAGGCCACACACAAAGAGAGAATGTCACATGTGAAGGAGGTGTACCCGTGCTCTGACATCCAGAAATCTGAGCATGAATGACCAATATTTGGGGAAAACACAATGCAAGGGAAACAACAAATATGTTATTATGAGGTTGTATTATAGACAACTGAAACAGGTAAAGCATCTGGATACTATTCTTCTGGACATTAATTTTCAGAGAGGAACTTATTAATAATGGAAATTTTAACTACACTGGCATGGAATGGACAACTGTCATGGCCAAGACCGCAAAAATGGTCTTGTTGCTTTATTTTCCAAAAAGCTGAAAAAGAGTTAAGAGGATCATATCTCTCCTAGATCTGATCCCAACCAATGGAGAAGAGCTAGTTGAAAACCAGAGAAGTACTAATTGGAATCTTCTGAACAGATATTCTCAATTTAAATGAAGTACAACTGAACCTTATTCCAGTGGGGAAAAAAGTGGGGGAAAGGAAGCTTAGAAAATCATTCTGAATCCATAGGGAACTTTCACTTGTGCTAAGAGTTAAAAAGGACAGAAACAGAAGGTGGAAAATCAATATAATCACTAAGGAGGTATACTAGCAAAGAGCACATGGTTATAGAAAGAAGGCTAAAAAATACTAAGAGAGATTTATGTTTGCAAGAGAAGGTAGAAACAATACAAATGGCTATTTGGTTTCATCAGTAGAAAAAAGTCAAAGGAAGGGGTAAGTCTACTGCTGGGAGAGAATGGTAGAATAAGTAAAGGTGAAAAGACAAACCTCAATTCCGACATTACTTCAGTCTAACTCACAATGTGGTAATGTGTTCAAATGCACTAAGCCAGGGGTGTCAAACTCAAGGCTTGCGAGGTGCTTAGATCTGGCCTGTGGGGCCACTCTGGAAACAGCGAAGGACCAGCCCGTGGTGCCTCTGCCAGCAAAAACCGAGCTCGGGAGGGCCACTCTGTTTTTGCTGGCAGAGGGTTGCAGGAGGCCATCCCAGAGATCAGGAGCCCATTTTTGCTGGCAGAACGCTCAGGCCACCACAGGGCCCCCCCGACATGAGTGACATCTTGGCCATGGCCCCCCTGGCCCCCCGAGGTCAAACACAACCCTGATGCGGCCCTCAATGAAATTGAGTTCGACACCCTTGCACTAAGCAGAAAAACTGACAACAGGAGAAGGCCGGAATCCAAGACATATAGCGAGATAGCTGAGGAATTCTTGACAAAGTTAAGTATTCAGGAGCAGACCAGTTACATTTAAGAGCCTTGAGAGAATTTATAGAAGTCATCTCTCAGAAATCTTCCTTGGCTGGATTTACTAGACCTGTTCCTTAGGTTAAGTCCTGAGGAGACTAATAGTCAGAGAAAGGTATCTAATCATAGGTAAATGACAGTTTTAGCACACCAAAATTATTTTGGCAATAACTGTTGTCTGTTGAGTGTTTAGCTTATTTTTACTTCATGAAACTATCTCGACTAACTTCAAATCTCTGAAATATTATATACAGGTAGTCTTCAACTTACAACCATTCATTTAGTGACTGCTTGAAGTTCCAACAGCACTGAAAAGGGTGACTTATTACCATTTTTCACAGTTATGACTGTTGCAGCATCCCCATGATCATGTGATCAAAATTTGAATGCTAGGCAACTGACTCATATTTATAACGGTTGCAGTCTCCTGGGGTCATGTGATCACCTTTTGCGACCTTCTGACAAGCAAAGTCAATGGGAAAACCAGATTCACTTAACAACTATGTTACTAATTTAACAACTGCAGTGATTCTCTTAACAACTGTGGCAAGAAAGGTCATAAAATGAGGCAAAGTTCACAACTGTTGCGCTTAGCAACAACTATTTTCAGCTCAATTGTGTTCGTAAGTCAAGGATTAGCTGTATATTTATATTTCTGACATTATTCAGCCATTTGTTGCTGTTCCTGCTCCTCACCTTCCCAAAACTCTGTATAACATTCTAGCCACTTTCTTTCAAATCTGGGAAAATGTCCTGGTAAATCCAACCAGGTTTACAAAGTTTGGTTTTAGCCTTCTGCATTTTTTGTTTTGTTACAGCTCTCTTGGTATAATCCAACCAAGTGCTGCAAATTCAAAGCCCAGAAATGCTTTGGGGGAAAATACAGTACACTTGGAAATAATTACTTCTACCTGAATGCTCCTTTATGGGACATTCCTGAGAAGCATTATGTAAAGTAAGGGCACCATC